ATAAATAAAATCTTTAAAAAAAAAAAAAAGAAATCCAGTTCGGTTTGGGGGACTCTTGTGAATGTATAAGCCCCATGAGGTGTTTACCTGAGAAGGTACCATTCAGAGAATGATGCGTTCTTCTCACTCTGAAGTCAGGGAAGGAGGCCACAGGTAAAGATGGTGCCTCTTCTGTTCAGAAGAATTTCCTGACGGTGGAACCACCAGGGAGCAGAATAGTTTAGTCAAGGGGGTTGTAAACTTTGTTTAGTAAATTTTTAAAAATAGGTGAGAACAAACAAACAAACAAGAAAGCAACCAAAACCAAAACCAAAACCAGAGCACCTATTTCTGGGGAAGCCTGTGTACGTATGGCTCTGGGCATGGCTTGGATGAACTTTTCAGGATCCTCGTGTCTTTGGCACAAGGTAGGAACACTGCTTTATAGTTATGTTTTGATTTATTTAAATACTTAAATAAGTTAAATTCTGATGAATCCTGTGTCCCAGGGAACAGAGAAATCCAAACTTGTCTTGGTCATGGCTCATAGGGAGCATTTCATTGCAACTTAATATTTTTTAACCAAACAGCTAGTGTTTAAGGGAAGAAGGGGTTGGAAAGATTTAGAAACTAAGCACCAGGAAAATCACAGATTAGAGAAACCGCACATCTAGACTCTCCACCTGTGACGTGAGTCTCCAATACGATTTTGGTGGGGGAGGAGAGGGGAAGAAAGAAGCAGAGTAATTGAAAGGCTGAGCTAAGCTTTCCTCTTAGAAGCAGTAGCAGTCAGATGGCTCTTCTGCAAGGGACAGAACAAAACTAAACAGGAACTGCATGCAAAGAAATCCAGACCACAGAAAGCAGATGGCTGACTGCCACAGGCTGAGCGGGGCAGGGAGGCAAGGGGCAACCACTTAAAGGGTACAGGGTTTTCTTTTGGGGTGATGAACAATTTTTGGAACTAAGTAGAGGTAGTGATTATACAACATTATGAATGTATTACATGCCACTGAATTGGTCCATTTTATGTTATATGAATGTCACTTCAATTTTTGTTTTAAGGTACATTTCTTGAAAAACACACACACATACACAAAAACAACTACCGGCAAAGGATTTTTATGTCAAGCTACTCAGAAGTCTTGACTTTCATTTAAGCATGCAGATGCAGAGGAATTAACCAGAAAAGAGAGAAAACAAAACAAAAAACATTAGCCCCAAGTGTATAGAATGACAAGAAATCTAAAGGAAACCACTGATCATACTTAGGTGGTGCTTTTAATAGCTACTTTAAGTGTGTCCTCCCAGGGGAAGGCAGGCCTCACCCCATCCATCCTTTCCCCCTGTTTCTAGAGAAGGATACAATGCCTGGAGAGACACATCCAAACCCACTGAAATCCTCACAAAGCTCTGCAAAGACAACAAGCTGGATGGACCCTACTTTTATCCTGGGAAAATACAGATAGGAAATCAGGTCTTTTCTGGAAAAACAGTCTTCACGGAGGAGGACACAGGTAACTCCCCCAGTGTATCCTGCTGACATTGCTCTTCTTTTGAAAAGCCTGCTTCTGGTGGTATTTGTGGCTGGGAGAGCAGCTATTTATTGTCAAGTAATCATGCTCCTGGTAGAAAATTTGGAAAAGAAAAGAGGATAATGAAAATCACTCAGAATCCCCAAATTCAGAGATAAGCATGCTGCTTGTTGGTGTATTTCCTTACAGTGTGTGTGTGTGTGTGTGTGTGTGTGTGTGTGTGTGTGTGACATTTTTACAGAACTGGAAGTTACCATATATAGTATTGTATCCTGCTTTTTCTATTTCCAATAGATTATGATGATTTTCCTTTGTTCTTTGAGAGTGTCATTGACAATATTCCTTTTTATGGCTGTGTCATTTATTTACATTGTGTCTTGTTTTTTGTACATTTCTGTACAGAAGAAACATGTTTCTCATACATATTTTTGCACATTTCTGATATTTCTATAGTGTAGATCACACAAATAGGGTTGTTGTATTGGAAGGTAGGCAGTAACCTTAAAATGAATATGATATAAAACAAATCATTGGACACATCCCAAATTACCCCACAAATGTTATACCAACAGCTCTCTTATTTCAGTACCAAGAAGCAGATTTTCCATATAAGCACATGGGACATACCAGGAAGATTCCAGAGGGGCTTTCATAAATTGAGGATGAGAAAAAAAAGCCACCTTTACTTTACTTTCATGATACAGAACAATTCTTGTAATGCCATTCCCATCCACTTGATGCAAATCAATAGGTGTAGAGTTACATATGGGCAAAACACAGGTTCAGAGCTTCCGATGCAAAGCACCCAATTAAGGACATATCACTGGATGTGTTCACAATGTTATGTTGATCCCGCCACTTTGACACCAGAATTTCTTCTCACCTTGTTATTTTGACCCCAAGAACCTCTTGAAAGTTTTTTCATGCAGAGTAATTGACATTTAAATTGTGTATTAATGACATCTTAATGAATTTCTCTTGAGAAAAATATTTTTTCACAATATACTCTATTAGGCCAATTAATTCCTTTGTCAATATTCTACATTTCATGATGAAACCATTTTTTTTGGCCACCAAAAATCTGAAATGATATTCATTTCAGTCAGTCAAGAACTGATTAAACTTTATGACAAAAGATTTAGTTCACTGATGATGTGTTCATCCCCATCAACTTCTACTGATTGTAATTATTGCTATTGGGAGATTGTGTGTGTGTGTGTGTGTGTTGTTGTGTGTGTGTGTGTGTGTGTGTGTGTGGCCTTTTTAAAACTGAACTCAACATCCCTATGTCAAATTTGGCCATTCTAAACTTTATCAAAAAATTTGATTTTTTTCCAGCAATTTTTGTGTTATTTTTGCAAGTACTTTTTCTGCCAGTAGTTTTTATTATGTATTGCCTTCTTTGGTAAGATGACAGATGTGAGAACCTTCCCTATGAGCAAGTATGTTAGTGGGAAGGAACAACGAGAAAAGATAAGACTTCCATGAACACATACTGTGTGGATTTTACCACCTGTTCAGGACCACCCAGATCTACTAGGCCCTCTCACACTATGGTGTTAACAAATAGTCTTATATCTCCAGGAAATATACCCTTTCCAGTACCTCAAAGCCAAGCTTGCAGTTCACAGGCTCTAGAGGAATCTGATTCAAGGGGCAAATGGAGCCACAGACTCTGAGACCTTGACTGCACTCTGGTCATCTTGTCAACCCATCTCACTTCCTGCTCTCTAAACCTCCTGTCTCTTTCCCTTCCCTCCACTCCACCCCCACTTCTTTCTATTCTCTTTTTGTCCTTTTTCTCTTTTGCAGTTTTACTCTCTCCGCGTGCCTTAGTACATTTAAATTTAACCTTTAAGGGAGTGTTTAAAAGTGCACCTGACAGCCCATCATTGTTCCATTATGGGAAAATATATCGGACAAATGTCTTTATTCTTCTTTCTTCCATGCAGATGAGACAGTGGAGTCTTACGAGCACCTGGCCCTCAGGGTTTTACAGTCATGGGAGGATATACCAGAGGTTGGGTGTAAGCTGGTTCCTGAGCACATAGAAACTCGGCCACTGTACCACAAGGATAAGCCAGGAATGGAGCAGGTAATGGCCAAGACGGTTCTGGCCCCAATAGGTGTGTTCCTTCCCAAGGAATAGGACTTTGTCCCTAAAAGTTATTCTTGTGTTCCCTGTGGTAATGGTTCTCAACCAGAGACAGTTTTGCCTCCCTGCCCCAGACTTTAGCAATGCCTAGAAATATTTTTGTTTGTCTCAGGTAGGTGGGGATGCTACTGGCATCTAGTGGGTAGAAGTCAGAGATGCAACAAAACATCCTGTACGGCATAGCCAGCCTCCCACAACGGAGAATTATTCAGCCCCAAATGTCAACAATGTTGAGGTTGAGAAATTCTGCCCTCAAGTCAGAGTCGGATTTAGTGCTTTTTGCCTTTTTAATGAATTTGAGTTATCACACTCTGTTGAAAGAATGCTGATATTTGAGAAACTTCAAAATCCATCTGACATGCCCAAGACCTGTCCAAAATCTATCAGTAACCCCACAGGCCATTAGTTTTCCCAGGGAAGCAATAGATGGTGGCTTATTCTGAAGAACTGGCAAGAGGAAGCTGTTTGGAAAAAATAACCAGAGGTCTGGGTTAGGAATTAGAAGTGAAAAGAAGATCAACTTTATTAGGAGCCTTCTTGATATGTACTTATTAATTATATGTACGTAATTAACACGTACTTATATACTAGGCCCTTTATGTAAATTATCTCAGTTAGGATGATCATAGATTTGTTTGTCCAAATGATGGCCATTTTGAGAGTAAAAGAGGCTGCTGTTAATAATTAAGCTGGTACAAGGGACACCACCAGGATTTTCCTAGACAAATAGGGGTGTGTGAGTCACCTTACCTTATTCCCTAATACAGCCTCATGGTGTACTTATTATGATCCTTGCTTTTAAGATGAAGAAATTGAAGTTCATAGAGTTTAACTAACTTGCTCAAAGTTACTCATGTGGTAAGTAGTAGAGCGGGATTTCACCCAGGCAGTTTGAGTTTCCTGTCCCAGCGCTGGACTCACTCACTGTGTCACTTGGGCAAAACACATGAGCTTGACTCCAATGGGGCAGTTTCCAATGGCCACACTGCCATCTCAGTGGTGTTGGGAGAGTGCCTTTTATCAGATGTAGAAGCCTATGATTAGTTCCTAAAATTCACTGCCAGATGTTTAAAACCTTTTGGTTATTGGTATACTTCATTTTACCATGTGGCTTTTTGGTTACAAGTGAATGTTAATATCTCTTTAGAGACTCTAGGATTGTAATCCTCCATTCGTTGGTTCTTCTCTTCCCAAATGCTAAACTCGTTGCTTAAATTGTCCCTTCCCTAGGAAAGCCCTTTTATTTTCTAGCCAAAGCCCCTCCTTCCCCTAAATCCTACAGATCCTCCCTGTTCTGGTTGGGAACCCCACTTCCTTCATATAAAATCTCCCCTGACCATCCCAGGCCTTGTTGATCATTCACCTTCTTGTCTGAGCTGATGGAGTACTTAGAATGTATACCACAGAGCTGAGCATTGAATCCACTGGGACTTCTCCCCACATGGGCACTCAGATCCCTTGCAGCAGGGTAAATTCTGATGTATGGAGTCCAAAGCAATGGATGGGAGGCCTTATTCTGCCACTAATTAGCCACAGGACTCCTATCATTTCTTTGGCTGCTCTAAGCCTTGGTTTCTTTAAATGTGTAACACAGAAATATAGCTGGGCTAAGCAGTTATGGAGATAAAGATGTTAAAGCACATTGGAAACAATGAAGCATGATACCTCTGACAGATAGTATTATTATCTTTTTAATCCTTAGGAGTTTATAGAAAAAGCAGTCTCTGGAGTCAACAGACAAGGGTTGAATCCAGACTCTGCTACATATTGTCTGTGTAAGCATGGGCAAGTTGTTTTCTCATCTGGCAAGTAGGAATAATAACATCCATCCTTTGGGGATAGTGGGGGAATTGACATAATGTTTTGTCAAGTGCATAGTACTGTGTCTACCACATAGTAGGTGCTCAATAAGGGTTTGCTTGCCTTTCACCTGCTCTTAACATATGTTCTGACTAATTCTTAATAAAAATGTAAGTTCTGTCTTTGTCAACAAATATCCTAAGCATGTATAATATGAATAATATCCATATGATAAGATATGATATGATATATAGCTAATATCCATGACTAGTCAAGGGATCTGTTAACACCATGAATGATCAGTTGCCCATGTGATACCCCATCAAAGTTAAAGGAGATCTTCTTTTCTTGACCAGGGCCGCCTGCAGATGTGGGTGGACATGTTTCCCAAAGATATGCCTCCACCTGGACCTCCTGTTGACATTTCACCAAGGCAGCCGAAAGGGTAAGTCAGCTAGCTGCAGCCCTACCTTCAGGGGAAGAGACCATGGTAGCCAACTAAAAGATCATGACATTTGATCAATTACAATGATTGTTGCACTGTAACTTGAGTTACATTGATCAGTTGACACCTGATAATCATATCTCACTTTCCATCTGGCCATTTACCACAAGGGTGAGTGAGAATAATGGTAGCAGTGGTTATGGTTGAAATGCTGGCTCGTGTTATATGTAGGGGCTATTGTGCTTCAGCATTCTGCAACATTCTGAAAAATGTCAGCTAATGGAAGAAAATACTGCTCAGAGAACTTCATGTCCTTGGTGATTCCAGCTGGGACACTTGGTTTTGAAGGAACCAAGACCTTAAGTGTTGATATTTTTGAACGTGGTAAAGTCGAAGAAGCCCACTGACACACAGCAACACCAGAATCCCATACACACCAGCTGACTCCGCTTTCAAGGTCTTCAACCTAATGCTGCCTTCCCTTATCCCAGGTATGAATTGAGAGTAACTATCTGGAACACTGAAGATGTCATTTTAGAGGATGAGAATATCTTCACAGGACAAAAATCAAGTGATATTTACGTTAAAGGGTGAGGTCATCAACAAACTCCATGCCCCCTCTTCTCCCCTCCTCCTCTCTTTAACCCCTAACTGAAGCTATGCCTCATGGAAGGTACTCCACCCACCTCATACAGAAGGAGTCCATCTTACTCACCTTTTTAGATAAGGTCACTTCCTTTGTCCAATATTATTTTGTCGTTATGCTAAGAATTATCTTATGAAAATATTTTTGTGAGAAAATTTTATTATATAAACATCTCTTTCAGTTAAATGTTGGGTACCTAAGCTTTTTGAGTGGCATTCAAAATACCTTTACACCTGAAGCAAGTAGAGAGATGTAATGTAGCTGATGAGAGATTCAGTGTTAGGAAGGTTGTAAGACTAATACAGAAGCTAAAAGTTGCCCCTTACCCTTTGCTAGTTCTACTGATAGGAACGACACCAACCTAGGACTCAGGAAACTACCCTCTTCCTCCCTCCCTCTCACCTCCCTCCCTCCCTCCCTCCCTCTCTCTCTCTCTCTCTCTCTCATCTTGGCTGTGACACAAATGCTTCCTTTGAGCCCCTAGTCATGGAGACAGATGAGGTGGTAGAGAATCAGAAGCAAGAGTGATTCAAACATGTCCCCTTGGATGAAACCCATCTCAGAAGTAGTGAACTCATCTCAGCCTCCTTTTGGCATCTCTTTGCCTTCCCCAAACAAGGAAACTTCTTCTTCATTGGCTCTATTTCTAGTACGCCATTAAATCCTATCCATTTAGCTTCCCAAATGGCCATCAGCACCGCCCACTTCCATCTTCACCACACCACCATCATAGTCTTTCCCTCCATCATTTCTTGCTGAGGCCACTGAAGTACCATGTGGGTTGGTCTGTCGGTACTCACTCTTGCCTCCTATAGCTTATTCTCTATGTTGAAACATGGGTTATCTTCTCAGAACACAATCTGATCAAATCAGATTTAATAACATCCTATTTTCTCTGGATGAAGATTCAGATCCCTAATATGTCCTAAAATATCCCATCTGACTAGATCCTCCTATCTCTCCAGGCCCATCTCATTCTTCCTTGCTTTGTGCTCTCTAGTCATGCTGAGCTTCTTTCCCTCATTGGAATGTGCGCCACCACACCACAGGGCCCTTGCACATCTCTCGCTGGTGACTTCTGCCAACCTCCCCTCCATCTCTCCATCCCCTTCCCTCTGTGGCTGTAGCTCTATTAAGGCAAGGACCATCTCTGTGGGCTCCCATCACTCCTCTAGCAACTAGCTCACCCCTTGCCTCATAACAGATACCACATATATATTGGTTGAGTGAGCACCATCTTTACTTAAATAATTGCATCCATACTCTGAGTGGTACCACTCCTCTGGGACAAGGGAGGTCTTTATCTTTCCCTGACCTGTGGGGAAGGGGTGTCTGCTTTCAGAAAGCAAGTGGTTTGGAGTTACCAGTTAAAGTTAAAAGCACCTATTTTCTCAGTAATTCACCAGGGATAAAGTACTAGAGGAAAATGTATTAATGGTAGCTTACTCTATACTGGGGATGGAGGAGGAAGACCAGATAAGAGGAAATAACAGTCTATATAACTTGGGGTACCCAAAGCACCGTACAGCTATTACCTCTTATAATTCTTCAGAGCAACACTATGAACTAGGTACTGTCATTGCTTCCATCTTGCAGATGAAACAGGTACAGGGGGTTTGAGACCTTCTCCAGGGCTTTCCAGTTAGTAATGGCAGAGCCAGGACTAGAATCCAGGTGGGTGCAGACAGGCTTCTACCCTCCATGCCATGATGATGCAGGCCTGCTGGGCTTTTGAGGCCCAGAACCAGAGAGGAGGGAGCTGATCACAGGCCTGATACCATGAGTCTAAACCAGGCCAATTGTACGGGCCCACCAGGGTAGTGGGTGCAGAGGTGGGACCCTCACAGGAAGCCCCAGGGGGAGAGGAAACTCCAATTACACTTGCCCTTCACATTTCCTGAGCCTTCCCTCTTTACTGCATGGGGCTTCAGTGCCGCTCCAGAACAACCAAAGACATCTCCCAAACCTGGCTTAGAATGAGAGGCTCACTTCTCTTTCAGATGCTTTGACTCCTATTTCTCTCTTTCAGATTCAATGGAAACTTCCATCTGAATCTAACTATATCATAATTTAAAAACTATGATCTGTGACCACATTGAAACTAGTTAATCACTCTTGATTTTACTGATGCCTGAATAATGTACTCAGGGACTCAGGGTGTGTAATTCTTTTTCTGTCTTTATTTAGGTGGATAAAGGGTCTGGAGGATGACAAGCAGGAGACCGATGTGCACTACAACTCCCTGACTGGCGAGGGGAACTTCAACTGGCGCTTCCTGTTTCCATTTCAGTATCTCCCAGCTGAGAAGCAAATGGTCATCACCAAGAGGGAGAACATCTTTTCCTTAGAGAAGATGGAGTGTAAGACACCAGCCGTGTTGGTGCTCCAGGTTTGGGATTTTGAAAGGCTGTCTTCGGATGACTTTCTGGGTAAGCTGGTGGCTTCGTAAAGTTCACATTAACGTTAAGGGCTCCGTCCCAGTTTTTGGAGAGCTTGGTTTGATTTAGGTACAAGGATAACAATTTCAGTGCTATTTATGATAGCAAAAGATTAGAAACACTCCAAATAGGCATTAGTAGGGGATTGGCTGAATAAGTTATGGCACATCCTTATGGTGGAAGATACGTTTTCAAACAGACTTAAATTCATCTTTGCTCTACCAATAAGAAGCTGTTAAATTTTGAGCTAGTTACTGGTCTCCTCTGTACCTCCGTTTCCTTCAGTTATAAAATGGGGATGGTAATATTACATACCTCAGAGAGTGTTTGCAGCTCTAAATTTGAAGTACAGCTTCAAATCTAATATAATTAAAAATATAACTTAATTTAATATAATTAAGTATAAATTTAATATAGAATTATTATAATTAATTTAATTTAATGTAAAATTAATATAATTTAATATAAAAATATAATTTGATTTAATACATTTACAATATAATTTGAAAACACACATAGTAAGCACTCAGTAAGTGATAGTCCCACAGCCATTAAAAATATTTGAATATTTAATGAGTTGGATAGTTGTACAAGATGCATTAAGTGAAAAAAGAAGGTAGAAAAAAATCCCCTTTATGCAAAGTACATGTTTATATGTATCAGAGACAGAGCGAGTCAGAGACAGGCAAAGAAACAATGACTAACATAGGATAAAAACTAATGTGTAGAGCAGTGATCAACTTTTGGGGGATGGAATTATGGAATATTTTTCTATGAATTTCTGGTTTATGTACATGCTCTAAATGCTCACAATTAGCAAATATTCTGTAGTAGGGAAAGGTTATTAAAGAGAGAGAGATAAAATACTCTCGTACTAGTATCTTATTTTCCATAATATTCACTCATTGAAAATACTTTGTTGAGAGCCCACTAAGGTCTTGGACAGTAGCTACAAAGACAGGAAGACTTAGTCCCCTACCTGGAGGAGTTTAGTGGACTCAGAGGGAGGTGAGTTGGGGGAGTAGGGTCTCTTCGGCAGACCCACGCTAAGGCAGAGGAAAGCTCAGAGGACAGGCACATAATCCCCAAGCACTCAGGGAGTAGACAAGATGTCCAGCAGCAACAACACCCGAAACTGAGGCTTGGAAGTTATATACTGTAGCTGTGCCCTGTCTTCTACCTGCTACTACATTGGGTGCCTTGAGGGCACCAAACATGTCTTGGTAACACTTGTATCCCCCAAACCTAGTACATGCTAGTGATCCAATGTGGTGCTGGTCGAACGACTAGTGAGTAAATGAATGAATGAATGAATGGGTGGGTGAATGATGCGTGGTGATGGATACTCAAGCCCTTCCATAACTATCAAGGGCATCTCTTCACAGGCTCCCTGGAAATGAACCTCAATAGTTTCCCCCGAGCAGCCAAGTCTGCCAAAGCCTGCGATTTCACCAAGTTTGAAAATGCAAGTGAGGAGAACAAGATCTCCATATTCCAGCAAAAGCGTGTGCGGGGCTGGTGGCCTTTTGCTAAAAGCAAGGAACTCACAGTAAGTGGCAGCTGTAGGAGACAGGGTTGGGGGGCAGACAGGGGCCATCATGCTCTTTAAGTGAATCACTTTGTAAATGTCAAGTGCCTTGAAGTGACACGGAACACTTTAAGGCAAAGTTTCTGCTGAGAGGCAAGAGTTTTGAAAACTATAAATGCATTAAGCTTCTGTATTTCAGCATACTTGATTAAATAGCTATGTCAGGGTGGTTTTCTAACCTCTTAGCTTGAATTTATGCCCCTGGCATTATTTTTTTTCCCAACATTTCTTGAAATCATGCATTAAGTCTTGACTAATGTACAGTTTTAATGCAACAACCTCATCCCCTCACCCTCAAATGCAGGACTCCATTTTAAAAGTGATGCAGACTTTTAAAACTTCCTTGAGAGGGTGGCAGCAGAGAGAGCCATTTCCCCTTTTCCCCGCATTGCCAGCCTGGTCCGTGTGGCACATGCTGTGGGCGCTTAGTCCTTTCACAGATATTGGGAAGGAAGTTCTGCAGCCTTCTTAGTGCCCCTCCATAAGGGAGGGCGGATAACCCACATGACGGGCAGGGTTGAGAGAAGGGAGTTCATTGATGACCCCTTTCCATGCTGCCTCCTCCTCTTGGTAGAGAGAATGTTCTTCCTTCTGCTCCTGTGCTTGGTGGCAGAAGCATACCCGGTTGGAACCTTCTGGTCACACCTGGTTCTCTCTCGCTGCTGTAGGGGCCCAGTGTGTGTGTGGCAAGGATTCCCTTTGCACCTGCCTGGCCTGACGCCATGGCATCTAGTTTTATTATATTTTCTGGCAGGTTTTCTCTTCCTGCCATTTTCAGCTGAACCTCCAGTGGGTAAGGTTGGGTCAAGAGAATGAGGCCACAGCCCTCACGGGCTTAGCACATAACAGATGCTCAATCAGTGAATTGATTGATGAATGGGCGAATTCAGCAATGCAGTCAGCATGGCCTCTACCCTCAACCAGCTCAGAGTCCAGTGAGAGAGACAGATGTGTCTAGTCGTGCATGCAATAGTCAGTGTATAAATGACACAGAGAAGGAAATGAGAGGAGAGAGGGACCTAATTCTCTCCGAGGATGTTGAGGAGTCAAGCAGAGTATCAGTTTTTCAAGAGCAAAGGCTCTTGAAAAGGCATTTTCTAGATGAAGAAGAGGGTGGATATCTACCTTGAGTAGAGGAACCATGAGGAGCATAGCATGGAGTCATGAAGCATCCCTGTGTGAAAGGCTGGCTGCCCACTGGTCAGAGTTGCCAGAGTGCAGCATGAGGTCAGGACATGGGGGACTGCCAAGCCCCAAAATCCAAATTCATGTCTTTTGGTATAATTCCTGTTTCTATAAAATCATCAAGAGTAATTATGTATGCATGGTTATGTAATGACCGTCGTCATTTATTACACTTTTATAGCCCTTTAGAGTTTGCCAAATACGTTCAGACTTCTGTTATTTCATTTGAGCCTAGTTGACTATTTTCTGTCACTTATTTCTTTCTTCATTTCATGCAATGAATATTTCTTGAGCATCTGTTAAGTGATAGGTCCTGGGAATAAAATAGGAGTAATAACAGACATGGGTCTCTGCCAGCATGGAGCTTACTCACAGTCCAGCATCAAAGACAGACACACACATGTTGAAGAGTTTGGATTTTATCCTCAGAGCAATGGGGAATCACTGAATGATCTCCAGCAGAGAGGTGAGGGGATCTGGCTCACACAGGAAAAGTAATCCCTCATTGCTTATGTGGACAATGAGTCGGAGAGGGTCACAACTGGAGAAGGAGAAGAACTGAGGCAGAACTGTAGGAAGAAAATGATAAAAATGTGCCTGAAACAAACCCAGAGAAGAGTCTCTTTTGAGAAGGACAGTTGGGCCACTGTGTCAGATGCCCCTGAGTGGTCATATAAGAAGCAGAGAAGTGTCCGGTGGATTTAGCAACATGGAGGTCACTGGTGACCTTTTGGAAAGCCTGGGTGGCTCAGTTGTTAAGCATCTGCCTTCGGCTCAGGTCATGATCCCAGGGTCCTGGGATCGAGCCCCGCATC